CACAGGAGGGTTGTGTGGCTTAGTTCCAAGTGTTGCTCTGAAGAGTCACCCTGAAGAGTGCAGTAACACAGCCTAGTTCCTGCCCTATTTATCTCCTTCCTTAATGTGACCACAATGTTCATAAGAATCTCTGACTTTTTTGTGCAGTATCTCACGAGGAGATTAGTCAATAAGTATCTGCTGATGACTAAGTTCCAAGTGATGGGTATGGCCTACAAGTGCTACAAGAGTTGGAAGGCCAGGGAGCCCCGTGCACTGGGTGCCGGGGGCATCTCCTGCAGGACATGATTCTAAACGCTTCTGGGTAGAGGGAAGGGCGGCAAAGTGCAATCTATGGAAGAATTTCATTTGGTTTTTGGTTTGCATGACAGTACTCTCAGAGGCAACATGATGAGGTGAATTGGGGCACAGCTTATGTCACATATTTTATTATAGCCAGTGTCCTTCGGCCCCTGAATTTATTACCTCTAAATGTGGGAGAGTCCCCAATGCGGCAAGAGGATCCTGAGGGTCTAAGCAAGTGATCAGTCACAAAGTGGTGTGGTTCCAAATGGTAGCATGCTGTGCAAGCCACACTGAACTCATTCTTCAGGCAGCACTGGATGGCAGCATGACACTGGGCTTTGCCATTCAGTGGTGCCAGGGCTGCCGTGCAATTGGTGTGAATAACAGCAAGTGCTCTAAGGGACTCTGGTCCTTTCAATGTGACTCCACACATCTGGACGTTTGGAAGCGGATTCCCAACAGCTTTCTTTCAGCTGCCCCTTGAACTCTTGCTATTTTGCAGATACTAGTTTCTGTTTAGACAGCTGAAGGAGGACAACTTTATATCATGACGGAGGTTAAAAACTTTAAGGCCCCTATGAATCTTATTTTCTAAATGTCAAAAGAATTAGAAACTAAAGCTATAGCTTCAATGCTTAACAATATCTAAGCAGGGTTTTGCTTGTTTGTATTTGCAGTGCTAGGGACCAAACCCAGGGCCTCATATAAGCAAGGCAAGAGCTCTGTCCCTCTGTCACTAAGCCACCTTCCCACCCCTTAGTCATTTGCACTTATTACCAAAGTTGTCTGAAGCCAATAATTTGTTCTATGATTTCATACGTTTGAGGATTAGTTCTGATGCAGTAAAAATGCTAATGTTGCCACTATGCCAGAGTAGGAAAGACAGTCCTTTGACAACATTATTGAATCTCTTGGGGAGTCACTGTCATGTCTAACGATGAATAACTATAGCTTTTGCATATGTACAATAAGATTTTAAACGCTTAATAAAGTGGTAGATTGAAGATAAATATGGATAAGTTGTTCTGAACTCTTTCAATGGACAAAGCAAACATTTTGCACTTCATCTGTGGCTTAAAAAAAAAAAACAACCCCTGAGTATAATTGTTAGTATTACATAATTTTGCTACATAAACTCAACTTGTGATTCTTCTTACTGTGGTTTCTTTCTTTCTCTCTTTGGTCTTTGAGGACTCTCTGGGGATAGTGGCCATAAACCAAGACAGCTGCCATCTAGGAGGGACTGACCTGACCTGGGGGTGAGGTGGAGGGGACAGATAAGACATAATGAGGAGGTGACACCAAAGTACAGTGTGGGAGACAGAAGAAATGTGTCATTACACATCCCAGAGAGGTCAGGGCTTCAGACAGAAGTTTCCTGATAAGAGGTCTGGAGGGGCCGGAAGGCGAACCAGCAGATGTAGGGCTAAAGGAGAGAGGTGTGTCTGCGCCTCTAGTTAGGTCCACTGGCTTTGTCCCTTAGGCCTCCTGCAGGGGCTGGGGGCCCACTTAGACAGAACATGTGGGAAGGTGGGTCTCTTACTCATAAGACTCTGGTGCCAACCGTTAGGTTTTCTCATGGTTAGCAGCTATGGAGCGAGCTGCCTTTGGGGTGAGTGGGATGAACAAGGGGGCTACGTCTCAGGTGCATGGAGGGAGGACATTTCAACTAGGCCCAAAGGACTGAGTTTCAAACCACTTGTGACAGTCCTAAAAACAAGTGACCTTATGTCATATGTTGATAAAACCTCTTTGACAGTAACCACATTAAACAAATTTATGACACAAGTCTAGCTTTAGTTTTGACTTAATTGAATTAGTAAGAATAGAAATTTTACTGCAAAGTTGGACATATGATGGATTTTGGCAGAAATACAGAACCCGATCAGCTATAAATTCATGGTTTTAAATATGTGAAGACAGATGCATAAATAAAATAAATCCCTAGAGATACACGTATTCATGCATCTATTTTTAGCTCTGTCCCCTGAGAGGGTCTAAAGCAATGACCATACCCAGCACTGAGATCTCAGTTTCCAAATATCATTTCTCAAAAAGAAATGAGGGATCCTCTGAAAGGACTGATTCCAGAGCCAGAGCAGAAAAATACAACATGAGCGCGGAACACATTCTGGTGCCAGAAAGTAAAGAAGTCACAGAAAACTATGGAGACGGGCCAAAGGGACAAATGGTCTACCTAAAGATGTGTGCACCAGTCGGATCCTGGGTAATTAAACAGTCAAAATGAGTAATGACAGCAGTGGGTTATAAACCACTGAACAAAATCCTGTCAGATCCCATAAGCCCACACAGATAAACAGGGAAAGCAGTAAATCAGAAAGAAGAGAAGGATCTTCCTGAGAGTAGGAAGCCACCTAATATAATTGTCCAAGGACCAGGGATAGTGGCTCTGGCAGGAGGATCACTTGGGCTCAGGGGTTCGATACCAGCCCAGCAACACTGCGAGACTCTGTCTCAAACAACAAAAATAATGGGTTTGGGGCTTTGCAATGTGGCACAGTGTTTGCCTAGTAGGTGCTGGGTTTGACACACACACACACACACACACATACACACACACATGTAATTAGAAAATCACCATGATAAGAATTTATTTGGGCAAGAATCATCAATAGATGTCAAACTAGTAAGTGAACATTTTAGGAGCTGTAAGATGCATACATAGCCTCAGGTATCTTCCTGGTGGATGTATATTAATTTCAAAAGGAAAAATAATGATAATATATACAGAAAAAACTTGGAAGTCACCACCCTAACTAGCAGCGTGATAAGTCAACATCATGTGCTTCTGATATAAGACACTGGAGAAGAACATACCATTGTATCCAGTATTCCCCCAAAATGTGCAACATTTTTTTTTTTAGTACCAGGAATCCAACTCAGGACTTGTGCTTGCCACATAGGTGCTGTGTCACTGAACTACATCCCCAGCCCCAAAATGTGTAACTTGAGTCCAAAGATGAGAAAGTCAGTCAGATTCATCTTGAAAGAAATACTACAAAATAGCCAGCCTATACTATTCAATAGGGTTGCTGTTACAGAAATTTTAAAAATTCCAAGGAGCTGCTCTAGACTAAAGAGATGACTACAGAATGAAACGCATCCTCTGTAAATGTATAATGAATTGCACAGTCATTGGCTGTAAAGAATGGTAGTGACACAGTTGGCAAGATCTGATGACACAGTTGGCAAGATCTGAGTAAGACCTGTAGATTAGATAATGCCACTGCAGCAGTATTAGTCTCCTGATATAGTCGCATTATGGTTATATAAAAGAATATTTAGGAAATGTATAAAGGGCATCTTGTTTTCAGAAGAGGGGGGATGTGGGGGGAAGTAGGGGAGGGGAGAAGGAAGAGGAAGAGGAGGGGGAGGAGGAGGAGGAAGAAAGTAAAGCCAGTGTGGCAAGATGTTAACATCTGGGGAACTGGGGTGAAGGGTACATGGGATTTCTTTGTACTATTCTTACAACTTTCTTGTATATTTGAAATTATGCCAAAATAAAAGAAAAATAAACAGTTTAGCAACTTAGGTCCTAGACACCATAAACAGATACACAAACACACACCCACACATAACATTATCATTTAAACTTGCTTTTTATCATGTTCTAGTCATTTGTTTTTGCTTTCTGGTGTTGAATAAACTCTGTAATTGCTTTAAGAATTCTTAAGCTTATTTTTGCTGTGACAATCAAATTTTTTAGAATGTTTGTTCAGTTATCTTTAAGAAGCCTGGAGTTCAAATGTCCTCTGAATCATTTTTTAAACTACAGCTCTCCAGCATGACAAAACAACAGCTGCACGTGTGGTCACACAGTTGCATGTGGGTATTTTTTTTAAAAAGCCCAACTCTCCTGATATATGAGTATTTCAGTTTGGCTTCAAAATCGGACTCTGAGAGGATATAACTTATTGGGGTCCCCTCTTTGCTTCCTCACAGGTAGGGAGCTGCAGATTTCAGCACTTCACTGCATGTTCTTCCTTTCACTATATGATGAGATCTTTTCACTTCATTTTACCAAGTGTTGTACATACAATAATTAAAGAAATATTGTTTATTCCATGTACCAGTCCATGAAATGTTAACTGCATATATATAAATATGAACCCTCTTTCCCTAAAAATAAGACCTAGCTGGAAAACAACCAGCCTTGAAGACAAGAGCTCAAAAATGCTAGCCCTAGTCAGCCTGGCCTGACTCTCCTACCATCCTGGTTCTCTTGCTCGATGGCTACTCTGTCAGGTGAGGAGAGCTGACTGGCGCTGGCATTTTTAATCTCTAGTTTTCAAGGTTGACTTTTCAGCTAGCTCTTATTTTTGGGGAATATAGTGTTTTTGTTTGTTTGTTTTTTCTGGTACCAGGAATCGAACTCACGACCTTGCGCTTGCTAGGCAGGCACTGTGCCGTTGAGCTAAATCCCCAGCCCCTAGGGGAATACGGTATTCTGCTTTATACCATCAGAACCTACTCTACTGTATTAGTACAGAATTATATGATAAGCTCTTGGAAGAAAAAGCAAGGTTGATTTTGTTTTAAAGGGCTTCAGACTGTACCTACTACCTGTAGGACTCGTGTAATTAATTGTGGTAATTACATTGGCTTCGTTTGAACTTTTAAGTGGGTGGTGATTCAGGTTTACTGTAGCAATATTGTACAATAATAACAATAATAATAATAATAATATTTTATACCTCATTCAGACAAAGGAAAGCTGGAGTTGAAGATAAATCAACAAACCGCTCATCTTGAATGTTAATCGTGGGCACTATGGCATAACCAATGTCTGTTTTAGACTTTTCATCTTCCTCCTCTTCCTCCTCCTTTTCTGTGTCTGTGGAGCTGTCTCCCATGTCTCACAATTCTGAAATAAAAAGCATTCCAGATTGAGCTACTTAGGAGTACCTTCATGTGTAAAGCAAATTGAGTGGAAAATAGTAACAGTAGCAAAAAACTGAAACTGTAAGTCAAAAGCTGCAAGTCAGGAAAGTTAGCTATAACCCGTTATTATAAGGCTGCTCTGTTGTAACGATATTTCTAGTCCCCTCTGCCCTTTCTTTCTCCTTTTTCTCTTTTTCTCTTTTTGCAGAGGTGGGGATCAAAGCCAGGCTCTTGAGCCTGCTAGCAGAGCTCTCTGACTGAGCCGTGCCCCAGCTCCAGACGCACTCTATTGTTATATTCAAGTCTTTATTCTAAGTCCACCAGGGCAGAACCGTCTAAATTTCTCGAGCACTGCAGTTACTATTTATTGAATGAGTAAATAAATACAGCCCTCATCCTTAAACTATACCACAAAATTAATGCCAATCAGTTTGGACACAGCCATGCTGAGCTATGGGCAGGAGAAGGGCAAGGTTAGGAATAGGCTCTGGAGCTGGACCTAGGGAAGGCTGTGCGACAGGACACCCCCTCAGCAGGCCGCGCTGGAGGCAGGGCCGGCGGTGTCTGAGAGCAGGTAGTGGACTCTGCTCTCCACTTGTGGGGCCAAGAATACGATTTCAGTGCAGGCGCGGGTCCATACAGCCTAGAGTCATGAAACATGCAAGCGGGGACTATGTAGCTTTACCACTGGGTTAATCACACTCGCTTTCGGATGCCTCGTCCGTGCCTCTGTGGCCACACTTAAAATACTGTGTGGTAATTTTCTAGTTTTCATATTGTGTCCAGAATCGGACTTCTCAGAACAGAAGTATATTTATTTACCTGGGTAGCTTCGACAACTGGCAAATAACACACATATTAGAATGTACGCTAAAAATATTTGCTAATGGAACAAACAAATTGTGCTACTCTTCCAATGTCCAAAGGATACTGCAATTTCAAGTAGGTTGCTTGGCTTTTTAGAAATAAAATGCTAATGCTGAAGCAATGGAGTGATAATAATTTACTCAACTTAGTAGAAAGCTAGTTCGTCCGAAACGGAAGTCCCCGAGGAGTAAAGCTGAAATTCTGCTGTGATTGCTATGGGCAGCTTCAATCACCAGCTTTGAAAATTTTTCTTCCCTAAACCATCTTGGCAGGCTGTCTGCATAATTTGCAGGGCTCAGTGCAAAAAAGGAAATGTGGGGCTCTTTGCTTAAAAAGCAGGAACAGCGCACGACTATGAAAGTTACCACAATAAAGCTTGCCCTTAAAGATATTTTATTACTTATGGAATATAATAGGGACGACAATGATGCATGAATAACAAAGGTTTACAAACTGCAAGAAAATATCTGATGCCACCACTTTATACAATGAAATAAATTAATGTGATGTCTCGATCATATGATGTTTCTGGCTCACTTTTTCTGCAAATTCACTTATTGGGCTGCCAATCAACACAATTTAACTGATGTCAGTTGCTCTTGGGAAATAGAAGACCACAAATCATTTCTTGGCAGCTTTCAATTTGAGAAGAATTTTTCTGTAGATGCATCCGTTATACTCAAGTTGTTAAGAGTGCTGTATTTGCAGGCTGTGACATCGTTTGGGTAAATTTCTGATAAATTATTTCAAAATGATGATGAGTCTCATACAATACTTTTTCCACAAAGATTTAACCCTATACCAGCCAGTTTCACGTATGGACTTCCCTTTAAATTTAAATGTATTCAACACCCATTTTCATGTTTCCTGTGACATTCCAGGGGACTTGTGGGGCTTGTGCAAGAACTTGAACGTGGCTTTCTGGTTTGTATCTACACCCAAACACTGCTTATGTACCCTGTAGCTGCATGTGCACTTACAAAGAAAAAAATAACATTAACAATGGTCTTCTTTGTTAATCCTTGGTTTATTCAAAGCTTTATATGAAAACTGTTCTTTTTTTGTCAAGTACAAAGATCTTTAAGTTTAATTTCTATTTCTAAGCCCATGGACATTTGACCTGCAATCTGTGATAGTTTTCAAAACTGGAGATTTTAAACTGATGAGTTCTAATAACTCATGTTGATATTTTTTATTGCAATTGTCATGTGTTTGCATCTCTTTTGTAATAACTGACTAAAATATTTTTCTGCAGGAGTGCCAGCAGTTTCTGTTGTGAATGTGGAACAGCCACATGGACCAGCTCCAGGGACCTGCCTCCCATGCGGGGTCCCACAGCCACCTTCACACGAAGGCCCTCCGCTTCTCAAGGTTGTGACAGCTGTCACTGCCCATGCTACTTTTGTCACTGCTGCTTCTGCCTCTATCGCTGTCTTCATTGCCACCAATTTGGACCTGATTCCTTGTCCATCTACCTTGGGACTTCGCAGTGCCTCGGCCTAGCCCAGGCATGCAGCTGAGTGCCAGGCTACCAGGCCAGGTTCTCGGCACCCAGGCTGCCTGCCACTGCTACCGGCTCAGGCCTGTACCTGTGTCCCTGCCACCTGGCCTCTCCCCGCTGCTCAGGCACATGCTCAGTTGTCCCCACAGTCTTCACTTGCAAAACACAAGCTCATAATTCAAATTATTAAGCATCTCAAGATGATGGCGGCAGAGCATAGAAGCAAGTACCCTCTAAGAAAGGTGCCTTGTGCAGCTGCAGATGTCATGTATCTATGAAGACAGTTTTGTCCCCTCTCAGCCAATAAGGACTCCACTGGTGCACTCGTGACATTAGGTGGCTGTCCTTCTAGACAGAAAGCTCTTAAGTTGCCTCCATTGCCTATAAAAATGCCAATGTCCGTATCTACTCTTCTGCCCTGTGAAATGTGTAGGTCTGCACTCAGTCGGCAGAACAGTCTCCTGCACTCTTCTCTTGCTAGAGAAGACAGCTATGCCTGTCATGACCTTAGGGTCGGGATCATCTGTCTCCTGTGTGCTATCTCCCACATCTGTCTTAGCGCATCTGCTGCTCCTTGGTGGTGTGCAGCCTCATTTTTTTCACGTGGAAAGCATGTTCTATAAGATGAAGGCAGAGGTGTGGGAGGCTTCCTGAGTTTATCAGTCACACAGACATAGCACTATTCTTCCCATTTTCTCCTCTCTCAAGTAACAGTAACAGTAACTAAATTTTCTATTTCAGAAGGACGTGCAGAACAAATGTAGTAATGCATCTGGACTTCAGGCTTCCCCTCTGCCCTACCTGATTGTCTGCCCCAGACATAAATTACCCTTGATTCTTCCCTCCTGCTATTGCTGCAAGGATACTTCTAGGTGGTGACACAGAATTCCATCAGAGGAGCCCACTGTCTGGCTGTCTGTCTTTATGTTATTATAACAGCTATTGCTATTGTTGGGTCTTCCTTTCTTTTAATAGACACGTTTGTTTTTTTCAAAGCCAAGAAGTACTTCTTAAAAAGAGCCTATTGTCATGAAGGTACTCAACACTGCACATTCCATAAGTAACCACAGTTAACTCTTTAAATCTTCAATCAGTTAGAAATGGCTTGGTTCTACAACTAAGCATATTTGCCAATAAGCTAGGATGTATATGCTCAATCTGTCAATGAAAGTTTAAGAGTATCCCAGAAAAATACTGTCTTTACAACATGAGGCCGTTTCTTCCATTTTCCAAACATTTTTAGCAATAAATATTTGAAATACACACAAAAGTAGCAGAATAACAGTGAATCTGCAGGCATACATCAACCAGCTTCAACAAATATCAGTGCAATTTTGTTTTATCTTTAACATCTCCTTCCCATCCTAATTGTCCAGATTATTTAAAACATAGTACTCCTTTGCCTAGATGCACTGTAGGTTATTTAAACAATCATTTAAGTGTGTCTGCTATTATAAAAGTGTGTCTGCTATTTCTGCTATTATAAAAGTGTCCATATAGTACACTTATTCATTTAAAAATATATTTTAAAGATCCCTGAAATCTTTATAATCAAGATGGCATTAGCTTTGAAAACTAAGGTTAAGACAATCAAAGCACTGTATCTTTAAGTATGATACAGTTTACCTGGGTAACAAAAGAAGGGTATATGCTGAATTTGAACAAATTCTCGGTTGAAGTTTTCAACCTCTGTTATCTTGAAATATTATAAATATTTTAGAGCAGATAAATCATTTTACATAGTAAAGACACTAAAGCAACTAAAAGACACTCCAGCAGGTTTCTAATAGAGCTCAAAATAAACTTAACCTATAGAATAAAATACTTATGTATCAATGTAATGAAAAGGTATGAAAAATATGTTCACTGAAAACTATAAATCAATGATGAAATAAACTGAAGTAGACACAAATAAAAAGAAAGATAGCTCATGTTCATGGATCTGAAAAGTAATATTGTTCAAATGTCCATATGACCCAAAGCAATCTACAGATTTGATGCAATTGCTGTCCAGATTTCAATGGAAATCTCACAGAAACAGAGGGGAAAAGACTCCAAAATTCATGTGGAACCAAGAAAGACCCTGAATAACCAAAGCAATGTTGTGCAAGAAGAACAAAGCTGGAATCATCACACTTCTTGATTTTAAATTATAGTAGAAAGGAACAGTAATCAAAACAATGTGGTACTGGCATGAAAAAGAATAGACTGATGGAACAGAATAGAGCACCAAGAAATGAGTCTAATCCTACTCGGTCAACCAGTTTTCAGCAAGAACACTGAGAATTCAAAATGGGAAAGGTCAGTATCATCAATAAATGGTGCTGAGAAAACTGCATATCTACATATAAAAGAATAAAATTAAACCTGTATCTTATACCACTCACAAAAATGAAGTGAAAATGGACTAGTTTTAAAAAGAAAAACAGATGAATAGAAAAAAGTAACAAAAACTCATTGCCAGGACCAACTTCAAGAGGACATAGGGAAAAATATCCTAGATGTTGTTCTTGGCAAGGAATTTTTGGATAGGACACCAACACCCAAGCAATGAAAGGAAAAATAAACATGTGGGATTCCACCAAACTAGCAAGTTTCTGCACA